AAAATCACAGAGAAGACGATAAAGATAAATAATCTCTTTAGCTGTTGTGGACATTGCACGATACTCTGCCTAACATCTTGTTTCTTACTCCGTCAAGAAATAAGGGAATCACCAAGAAATATACAATAACATGTGATAGACTTTCTGGTAGAGGGATCAACAGCCCAATCAGCATCAGAATATGCACAAAGCTCTAACTTAGATGTAGCAGGAAACAAAAAAGAGTGAGTGCTAGTACCCCAGAGGTATCGAAGAATCCATAATAAGGTAGCATAGTGTACAGAACATGGGGCACTAACAAATTAACTAAAAATACCAACAGCATGAGAGATATCTGGTCGAGAGATGCACAGATAGACCAACTGGCCAACAAGATGTTAATATCGGGTAGGACCAGAAAGAGGCACACCATCGGTAGAGAAAAGTTTGACATTCTACTGGAGTGGAGTATCGACAGTTACATCGTCAGTTAGCTCAGCTTGATTTAGAATATCCGAGAGATACTTCTATTGAGACAGTAGTACACCCTGCAAGTCTTGAGAAATTTCTAGATCAAGAAAATACCGAAGAGATTCAAGATCCTTCATGTGGAACTGTTGTTGCAACTAAGATTTTGTGTATTGTATACTTATCATATTATCACCTGTAATGATCATATCATCTACATAGATGAGTAATAAAACTCTACCATGCAATGTAGTGCGAACAAACATAGAAGCATCTTGATGACTTTCCATAAAGCCCGCTTTGAGCACGACGTCGCGAAAACACTCAAACCAAGCACGGGGTGCCTGCTTGAGACCATAAACAGCACGGCGAATGAGACATACATGTCCCGGAGGAATATTTGACCCTGGAGATGGTTGCATATATACGGTCTCTGATAAAGAGCCCTGAAGAAAAGTATTTTTGACATCCATCTGGTATAAGGGCCAAAGATGAGCAGCAGCGACCGTAAGGAGAGTACGAACAGTGAGCATCTGAGCAACAGGAGCAAAAGTCTTCTCATAATCAATACCTTGTTGCTGAGTAAAACCTCGAGTCACTAAACAAACTTTTCGACGTTTAATTGTGCTATCAGGATGAAACTTGACCTTATAAACCCATTTACTGCCAACAAGAGAGATCACAGGAGGATAGAGAATAACATCTCAGGTATGAGTTTGCTAAAAGGCTTGAAATTCCTTAGCCATAGTCTATCGCCACTCTGGAATTTGAACTACCTCTTGAAAGGACTTTGGCTCAACAGTAGTATGAATGGTAACAAGAAAGTTATGAAAGATAGGTGAATAGGAAGTAACCGAAGCATACCAGACAGGCATGACATGTGAGCATTTGCCTCGACGAATAGCAAGAGGAACTTTAGGCGGGAGAGATGCTGGTGCAGGTGCGTGGAGATCAATAGTATTTTCTGGAGTGAGAGTTGTGTCCACGAGATAGGGATTAGATGGTGTAAGAGAAGGCTAGGGTGAGGAAGAGTCAACAGAAGGAGAGGGAGAGAGAGGGAGAGATGTCAGGGAGATCTCGAAAGGAAAACTAAGATGAAAGGAAAACTGAGGTGAAGAAGTGGGTGATGCAGTTGACGGGGAAACATGATCAGTAGAGTGGAGAACATTAAAGTCATCAGAAGCAGAATAATATGGAGAATCCTCTTTGAACTGAACATGACGAGATATATAAACTCGACGAGTTGCAGGATCATAACAACGATAACCTCGATGTTCTAAACTAATTCCTAAATAAATACAAGAAACAGCTCTAGGAGATAATTTATCACGTTCGTGAGATGACAGAGAATAAAACATTGACAACCAAAAACGTGGACTAGATCATAACGGGGAGGATGAGTATAAACACGACTATAACGAGTAGCACCAGAAAGAGAGCTAGATGGAGTGATATTAATGGCATGAGTCGTGGTGAGAATGGCCTCAGCCCAGAAACGACGAGAAACGGAGTAAGAAATGAGCATGGATCGAGCAGTATCGAGGATATGACGATGTTTACGTTCAGCAACACCATTTTGCTCATGAGCGTAGGGACATGACTGTTGAAAGATAGTCCCATAAGAGGACATGATAGAGCGCATGATAGAGGATAAGTACTCTTTGGCACAATTAGAATAAAAAACTTTAATACGAGATTGTCATTGGGTGAAAATCATAGCAGTGAAGGCTTGATAAGCAGTAAGTACGTCAGAGCGATTCTTAAGTAGGTAAACCCATATAAAACAAGAGAAATCATCGATAAAACTAATATAATATAAGTAGTCAGATGAAGAAGGCAAAGGAGCTGGCCCCCAAATATCAGAATGTACTAAATCAAATAAGGAAGTGAATACGGATGTACTCATTTTAAATGGTACAGTAGTTAATTTTACCAATTTGCAACCAGTACATGACTCAATACTAGAACTAGAAGATACAGGGCCAAGTACTCCAGACTGAATAAGACTCTGCAGCCTTTTATTAGACACATGACCAAGTGGTCTATACCATAAATTGACAGGAAGCGAGGTAGAGGGTTTTGACGAACGAACGGAACCAACAAGAGAACGTGGACGTATGAACTCTGGAAGGTAAAGATATTCCAAAAAATACAGCTTGTGCCTCCTACGACCCACCCTAACCTTCTTGCCCTTCTGTGGATCCTGCACAATACAAGTATCAGACGAAAATAAGACAAACAGACCAACCATACATAAAGAGCTAATAGAAATTAAATTCAAGCATAGCTGATGAGCCACATAGACGGGACCAAGTGTTAGATGACCAAATGGATCATATTGTGGGGTAACAGAACCATACTGAGTAATGGACAATGGTTGTCCAGCATCTGTGTAGATAGGCGGAAGAGAGGATGAAGTAAAGACAGAGGATAAAAGTAAGGCATTACAAGTCTTATAAAAGGAACAACCAAAGTTAAAAATCCAGAGATCATTCATACCAGAGACCGAAGGATTAGCTGAAGAATCAGCAAAATACATACCAGAGAGTTGTGCAGCGGATGTAGAGGTGATATGCTAAAAAGCATCAAGTTGACGGCGAAGACTTTCAATAGCTTGAATAGTAGAGTCTGAAGTAGTAGAAGGTATAGCATTGGCCAGCAATCCTCTACGAGAGGGTTGAGACTGAAAGGGTCGCCGACCACGACCAGTACCTGAGGAACGTAACTCAAGGATTAAGCTTGAAGCATGTCTCAATGTGTGTCCTTCCTTCTTGTAATATTTACAAAAGAGCTTAGATCGAGCCTGTGAAGAGCGAGCATGTGGAGAAGTATGATTCATAACAGGAGTAGTGACAGGTACAGATATAACAGTCTCGAGTGAAGAGGTAGGAGTGTATGTTGACAAATTGAGTCGTGCTCTCTTCTGCCGAGTCTCATAAGCAGTGAGAGATCTCATAACTGAGGCCAAAGTTGGAAATTGAGGCTGATGAAGTAGTTGATCAGCCATAATTGAATATTCAGTTGATGCACCTCATGCCGTTCGTACCAGGCTAGCCAGTCTTCATATGTGGAATTACGTTCAGGAAGCATGGAGCGTAATTCTGTCCAAAAATCTTGTATTTGTCCAAAATGGGACTGCAGAGATGAACTACCTTTGCGTTGTAGTGCAATGCGTTGCAGAAGATATGTCTCCCGTGCACCCGAGCACTCAGTGAAATGCTCAGTGAGACGAGTCCACATGGCCCGAGCAGAGGGAAGCGAGCCAATCTCGACAGTGAAACCAGAGCCAACAGCAAGTGAGATAATCCATGACACGAAATTCTTACAATTGCCAGTCTGAACTCTCCTTGACATAGAGAGCACGAGTAGTCTAAAGATCAACATCACCACTGCCAGAGGCAATAGTACTGGATGAAACAACAGTACTGATGAACGGTGGAACTGGTCCCGTACTGGTGAGATGATCAAGCAAATCAGCGCCACACAAGGCATTGGTGACAATGGTGGACTACCATGCCGAGTCACTTTGATCATTGAGGGGCAAAGGTGGTTTGGGAATCTTCTCTAAAGGAGCCATAACAGCAATGTTGAGACGTTAAGACGTCGAGATGGATTAAAACGGCCATAACAGCAAAAGAACGCAGAAGCGTTAAAAATTTTTATTGGAAGGGAAATAGCCCTAGCTCTGATACCATGTTAAAGTAAGAGAGAGTGAGTGAGAGAATCTTGGGTAAATTTCCCTTTTTAGTTGAATATTGAGTGTGCACATATATTTATACAAGTAGAGGAGGGTGAGGTGTGTTCTCACAAGCAATGTGGGACTAAAACCCACTACAATACACTATTATCAACAAATATAAGAATTCCCCAAAAAAATTAAAAAAGGACATGAAGAAAAACAAAAGAGAGGCACCATAACGTACATCATTCAATCAAACTTGATTTATACGTATCTACAAGTAGGGCTTGAGAGAAAGATGTCACCATTAACGGAGAGGGTTGTGGCTTTCTTATACGTCTCTTTGACGGGGCAGTTAGCGCAGCGGGTTATGATTTGTGTATGCGGAAAAATGTGTTGATCGATGGAAGAGTTTCAGGGGCTGTGACAAGGTGTCAATACAGCAAGAGAGAGCGGGGACGGCTTAATTTGTAACTGTCCTACTTGGGAGATTCTTTACTTGTTATCAAGCTTTGTTATATAAGCGCATTCCAAAAACTATCAGCAATTTGGCGCGCATCATGTATACGTCGTGCTGCGAATGTAACCACCCTTACAGATTGGCAAGACGCTTCTTGCTCGGACTTCCGAGGAGCTCTTAAATCTGTGTTGGCGAGACGCTTCTTGCTTTTTGTGTGAGAGAGTCGGATAACACAGTCTCTACATCATACACGGGTCAAAGGATCCAAATTTCCCTAAGAACTTTCCCCCCTCCTATGACGCAGTCCATAAACCCAGATAACACTAAAAAAAACTTCATGACGCAGCTCAAGGTAAGAGCTACATAAAGTTCTTTCTTTTTTTTTATTCCTTGACCTGAGACAATAAATCCGGGCCCACGGAGCCAAATTGATCACGAAAAACCCTACCAGCCTCCTCGGCGCTAATTGCTGCATGTGCAGTGTCGCAAACATATCAACGTCAATTAACAAACTAGAAACAGTCGTCCAGAGCCACCTGCTCTTTTCCACTTTTCAACATCCTACGCCCTTAAATAGCTCCCCCTCCTCGCACATCACGGTGACCAAGCCCCCTGATGGACATCAACAAAAATGCATTGGGAGATGAATCCTTCAAGAGGCCAGGATCCGTTCCATTCAAATGGGAAATTGAGCCAGGCATCCCAAAGCTTTTTTATAATGCTGCTCAGCAAAAGACCTTGCCACAACTCAGCCCTCCTCCTTGCGTGAGAAAACAGAGCCCGCTGGCTCTTCCACGCCAAGCTCCTCCAGTGTCTCAGGGTTGTTTCCCGAAACAGTCTCTCAAGCGAAGGGAAGTGAAGGAAGTGAGCTCATCGTCACCACATCGAAGAGTTATGATGCAGTCTTCCAAGAGCAAGGAAGTCAAGGAAGTGAGCTCAATGTCACCACGCAAGACTACATCCGCTCGTTACTCATCACCCTTTTCTTTATCCTTCAGAAAGTCGCAGGCGAAGGAGGTGGAGGTGATAGCTCAATGTCTCTTCTAGAGCTTTGTGCTTCAACAACATCCCCACCCCACCAAAAAAAAAAGGCCGCTTGGCTCTCTCTCTCTCATCTCTCATCTCTCTCTCTCTCTCTCTCTGAATAATCCAAAGATTGGTATATATCCCTAAATAATTTGAGTTGCACTCGAGGATTTAAGTGTAGTTGATCCTTCGGTATGAGGAATAATCAACAAAACACAAATAGATGGGCTTGTAATGGACCCAACCTGTGTAATTGGTTCTTAGCTATGAGGTATAAGCAGTAAAGCACAAATACTGCTCATCAATCATCACAGCCTTCAAAAAGGTCAGCTTTCAAGGAAACGATATCATGATGACGACAGCCTTTAAAGAGGGTTTACAATATGAGAACCGGATTCCTAGTATACACTTCATTATTGTAGTCATACAAGTGCAAGCAAGAATAAAATATCATTAATTATTAAATGCTGATCAATCACAATGACAGTAATAATTAACCCAGTTGCTTTAAGCCAAAGAGACATTACCCGTGTCATACTGCTGCCCCCTGAGTGTCTTACTCTTTACCAAGCATAGCCTGATGACCATAAGAGGCCCCTAAACAAGCATGATATGAATAATAAGCAATACTAAGATTTTTTTTTTTAATTAAAAAAATAGTAACCAGCCGTAGTTGCAACTTGAAATAATTAATTTCAGAAACGAGAGCATTCTAATTATCAGCAAACATGGTTGGCAAGGTTAATTAATATGGGTATTATGCCATTCTTAAACCGAAATAAATTTAATGTTGATGCATAGAAGCATCAAGTCGATCATTCTTTTTGGTATATTAAGTCTGCAGAGTTTACACGCTAGTCTGAAGAGGGCCTAAATTCTGTAAAGTAGAAATCCTGTCTGTTTCCAGTGACCACTTGCGTGCATTTTGTTGTCCTGATAATGAAAGCAAATTTGTAATGAAATGTGATATAATTAATCCTTTCAAGCAAAAGTTTGCACCGAGGTATATTCAGTAGAACTTACTCTGATTTCCTACAATATGGGAAGGATTCGACGCTCGCTGTCTTCATTACATCCACATCTTCTGTTTCTTGAGCAACCTACAGCAACCTACAACGGGAAGCACCTCTTTTCACATGGCAAGCTCCTGTTCAGTAACAGGATAATTAGACAAATTCAAGAATAATAGCTCGATAAGGATATTGCATCAAACTATTATACATAATAGAGATCACGAAGGTAATCTACAAACAAAGAAACTGTTCATGGAGTCACCGATCAGATGGCCTCGACTATCTGACAACTAAAGTTTTTACTCTCACGGGCATGGGATAAAAGCTGTAAAGTATTCATTAGGAGCCAAATCCATTGGTTTATTACCCATTTGGAAAATACGAGAGACAATTTAGCCTCATTGATTCACTATCCGCTTCGCCTGGAAGTACATGCATGCTACAGTTTAGTACAAAAGATTGATAGAAACACACTACGGAAGAAAGATATTATTAGAAGGGAAGGTGCAATTCAAAAAATGGGAAAAATAATGAAAAATGGAAAATAATGATGGCTAAACAATTAACACCCTTCTTTTACGCGTGAATATGGATTCCTAGCTGCAGCCATGAATATTGAAATATACACAATATATAATGAAACCCGTGCCTAATTGCAAGGACTATAAGAGAGATCATAATGCCTTAGTGTGGCCACAAAAAGAGAGAAAAGGGATACACCGCAATTTCATAGAGCACAATGAGGCAAAAATTACACAGTTTTGGACAAGGCTTAGCTTCAGAAATTACATCTTTTACAGATTCTTCTGAAACAAGGGATAGCTTCAGACTTTGGCAATGTCATCTCTCGCCCGACAATGATTCGAGAAGAACAGATTCCTCCACCTAGAAAAAATCAGTAGGGGATGCTTCAGTCACTTTTACCCATAAAGAAGATGAATTCAAATTAAAAGGATCAAAACAACATAGGATGAGTCCTTCCAAGTGAAGACATATTCCTCATAATTTCTGACATCAGCATCCAAGGCCTGAAGTACTTGATCAATTTCAAGCCTTTAGAATCTTTGATTATATGTGCTGAGATCCCTAGAAGTGTACTAACAACAAAAATTTCTCAACATTGTGCTAAGGGATTGTTAAAGGAAGTATCATTTCTCCAGGAAACAGAAATACTTTGTATTCATATAAACATTAAGTGTGTGTACAGTATCAATTTTCCCCCCAAAGCCCCAAACTCTTTGAGCAGGTGCTTGAGAGTAGCAAATGATTGAGAGAAAACTAAAGAATTTGTATTAAGCACAGTGGTCGAGAGAGAAGCAACATAACACCAAAGCATTGAATTCCCTTTCCTCATCTATAGCAACAACAATAGCAGGGTCCTCCAAGAGATCTTGTTTCCATACATCTAGGGTTAAATATAAGAACATGTTTATGTTGAACGCTCATAAATGTGCTGAGCAAGTTCTTCAATGATAAGTCAGCACATAGTCATAATGAAGCGAATTTACTGAGGTTCCATAAATTACAGGCAGAAGGATATGGCTTAGAAGCATCAAAAGCATACCTAGACCTGCAATGAAACTAGATGATAGTTAACAACATTTGACAAGAATATTAATTTGTGAGAGCAAAATGGTTTCAGGCATCAAAATAAGCTGAAAGAGGTAAAAATATTAGTCAATTTTACAGCATTCATAGAAGCAGATGATAAAGCAAGCATCACAAGAAAAGAAAAACTAACATCCAGGAATTAATTTAAAATGAGGGCATATTTACGGTGATATTTGTCGTGAAAGCCACAAGTTGCAATAATGTTTTAAAGGTGTTTACATGATCTCAGATGACATTTACATCACTATCAGGAAAATTTGTGTTCACTTCGATTATTTAGCAATCAGGAAGTCCATTTTACAACAGCAAAAGATACTATAAAACAATTTACTGCTGTTAAATTGCGTGACAGTTCAAAATGAACGTCTAGTACCCAGGATTTCAAATATTAGGTTTCTTGACATGTTGCACATTAGATCATCAGACTATGACGATGACACCATGCAGTTGCAATGTTAAAGGTGTAGCTACTTACCATCCCAGTTCAAGGTTTAGTACATTAGATCATAAAACAATGACGGTGCCTTTTCCCATTAAGTCTTTAACATTCATGCGGGGATGTTCTTTATTATAATTCTATAACTCTGACCATGACATGATTCAGCACAAGTTTAAAATCTAAAAAATACAGCATCATGGGGCAAAGTGAATGTGCTAATAAAATACAACACGGATGCTAAGTAGCTAAACCACCATAGTACAAGGGGAGCATCTGCACAAAACTTTTAATTTATTACTATTGGGATGCTCTGAAATAAAATGGAGAATTCTACAAGTGTTTTTACAAATGCCATTGTGGACAAATCTACATACAGGAGCAAATGGATTAATGCATTTACAGAGAAGATCTCATTGCCTAACTCACTCTAATCCCATGGCAAGTTCACATAATAGTGATATGAAGATAAATTTTGATGGTGGTCAAGGAAGCTCAACTGAGTTTCTCCCGACAGAGTGTTTGGATAGATGGAGACTCCCTGCTAGTTGTCTAGTTGCTGCTACGACTCACAACAAATAATCCTTCTTTATAAATTAGTAGTTTGACTAATTGTAAGGACATGATGAGCCTTCCAGCAATAATGGTCATGTGGAGGGCATCACATATAATTAAATAAGATAAGGCAGCTAACTGGATTGTCAGTCTTGCAACTAGCTTCTACCTCAGACATGTTTTGTACTCTAATTATCCAACTGAATTGGAGTAGATTATGCAACTTCATCAATTTTCTGTCTAAGAATATATAAACATTTCAAGGGTTTCATACCAGGTTTTATTATAGCAGATAACAATGTCCTAGAAGAGAACATCAGTATGCATACGTATTTTTTGGCTGAAAGTGCATGTTACAGATGAATAAGTGCAAAGACGCTCAAATGAATAAGTACACAAACTCATGACACGTCTATATCTTTTCCGCCTAGAGAAGTTAATGAAACAGTCCTCAGATGTCCTGCAGGCCTGACAAAGGGGTTCCATAATGATTTATGCTAGAAAAAAGATATCATTTCATAGAGAAAGTATGCGTCACAAATGGGTATGAGAGTTAACAATGAAAGTCAATGTGAATTAGGTAAGGCCACGTTAACATAAAACAGATAAATATACATCATCTGCAATCAGCAATCGGCCATATTTGTCCTGCACAAGAAGAAAAATGATTGTTTAGTTTAATATCCTGCCGTAAACGGAAAATTAGATATTAGCATATTGCTCTATACAAGATGCTGGCATGTTATTCTATCAAAAGGGACCACAAGAAAATCAATCCGGAAATGATGCCATTTCTGCATGAAGAAAGATATACCTTAACAGCAACAAAAAGCAGCGGATCAGATGGTGTATAAATCATACATATGTGCTCCATCCTGAAAATCAAATGCTTCAAAAAAGCAATTAACAAACAAGGCTAACATAAAATCACAACTTCCTTAGTATCTCATAATAAAGTTAAGCCCAAGTATAGATTAAATATTCCACAATGAGATGTTTAATCTAGCAATTCTAGCCTCTTACTTGTTACAGCTTAAAGTAGAGCATTGTATCTATTACATTTTCCACAATAAGATGCTTAATTCAGCCTCTTAGTGATGACAGTTATCCGCCATGAGATGCCAAATTTAGGAACAAAACGTATTCTTAAATAAGAAAGATGAATTAATCAAAAAGAAGCAGCAGAAAACAAAGAAAAGCAATCAATTGTGCATATACTTTAGGATAATCCATAACATCTACATTTGGTTTTATTTTTCTTCTTCTTTTTCTGGCATATGTCTGAGCCTGTGAGGGTGAAGTTGGAGGCTAAGAATGGAGATACCCATGATTCTTAGAGAACATAACTAATCATGTGGTTCCATCGCAAACCGATCAGATGCAAAATGTCCTTCAGTTTTTTCCAGATGACATCATCAAAGCCAGTTCATATTTATATGCACATTGTGCTAGTACTGATGAGACTTATAATTTCTTGCATTGTTTAGAACCACTTTTTGGATATTAAAAATTAGTCCTACCCGTTCAGTCATCATAGTTTGTAAGCCTTTTCCTAATTCCTTTGGTAGTCCTCTCAGGCAAGCTCAACTGGTATTCAAGAACACAAAATGCTCATAATCAAATTATCATATGCACAGGTATAAAATTGAAATATTTTGTTCCATATAATCCCCAATCAGCTGAACTTTTTATGATCCTGTACTTGTTTGGCCTTCAAATGAAAAGATTAAGATGTATATAACTATGAAGCTTTCTCGGACCTCACGCAGGTAGATAAGTAGTCAATTTCATTTTCGGTATCAATATAGGAATCCACGTTAAACACCATTTGCCAAATCAGTAAAGAAATT